AAAAAAAAAAATGAAAACTCCCCTAAAGTTTCTAGTTCTGGCTGCCTTTGTCACTCACTGCCACGGGTGGGGTGTCCACGTTCACAGCTATGACTATGCTCTCTCCATCCTCTGTTTTGATACGTTTGAGTTCCTGCTGTTCCGACTGGTCTCCGTTCTGGCGCTTGGTGGGGAGCGACGCCGATGCGGACGCGTGGGTTGCTAACATATGCAAAGGACTTGCAGCAGCTGCAAAAAGGAGAGTACAAACTTCAGCACCCTGATCCTTGTCAAATCACATACACAATACTGAGTTATGCAATTTCATTGTACAATAAGGAACCTGAGTTTCTTTTGGACCCCAGCTGACTCACAGGGCCCAAGCAATGCTGCCAAGCTGCTCTGCTGAGAGCAGGACCTGAAAGCAGCTGCTTTACTGCACATGGAAAAGGGAACAGGATTTGCTCTGCATTTCTTTCTTCTCAGATGGCACCAACCTTCTTTCAGCAAAGACAAACACACCAATGTGTGTGAACACAGATGTGTGTGTCACGCAGACAAACACAAATCTGTGTTTCTATAGGCCCAGTTCCCACTTTGCCTGAGAATTACCTGGTTTCTTGCTGCTTTAGGAGTTACTGTAACAAGAGACCAGGACCTGGAGCACACCTCACTCCACACAAACACACACAGAGACAACAGTGGGAAGCATCACAACTCTACTCTTGTGTGCAGCCACATTCCCTGCACACCCTCCAGCCCTCGGCTGCTGGCTCAGGGAATGTCTGGAAATCAGCTGAGTTTTCAGAATCCAGGAAAAAGAGAAAAATAATTATTTCTTACTTTTAAAAATAGCTTTTCAGTATCTTTCACATGGCTCTCAGCTCTATTCACACATCTCTTCTGACACAGAAAGTGCACCTCAAGTCTGACTGTGATGCTTTTGCTGCTCTTAAGCTGGAAGTAAAGTGGCAGCAGCCAGAACACTGACCTATAAATGTCAGTGATGGCAAAGGAATAAAAAGGAAATGAAGGAGAAAGGCTTTTGAGCAGAAATGCAGGTAATGAATTGATGTAAGACAGCCCTAAAATTATTTCTGTAAACATATGACAAAAAACCTCTCCTTCAGTATCAGATAATACCTAAAACAAAGCTGTTAGACCAAGCTGTGAGGACCTGCCAGCAGAGCAAACCTGCCCATGCTGGGAGCAAGAGGGAATGTGTGCAATGATGACAAAGCACTGCTGCCCACTCAGCCTGCCAAGACCCAGAGGGGAATGATGGATTGAGACATGAACCACCTCAAAACCTTACAGAATTTTGGTCTTTTCGGTACAGGTTCAATAAAATCATAATAAAAAGTGACAGTTCAAAGAGCCAACCCACAAGCAAGTTCTGGTTTTCCTGTTGGTGGCTTCCAACAAACCACCTGGGAGCAGGCACCATTTTAACAGCTCTGATTTACAGGAGCTTCTTTTGAAACTTCTTTCTATCCTGGTTTAACAAGGAGAGAGGATGGGTTGTCACCACTAAGTACATCCC